CTCCTGTGCTTTGCTGTCAGGAGGATGCCTGGGTGCTGGGCATCGAGGGGCTCAGACGCAGGTGGAGACCAAGGGTGGCTGAGAGGCCCTCAGGACTGTGTATGAGGAGTTCCCAGCAGCCCTTTCACTTAGGAAGCAGCTGCTGAGGAGCAGCGCTGTGCTGCGTTGCCCTGACCTCTGTTACTCTGGTTTTCACACTGGTGTGTGGAGGAGCATGGGACTTACCAAGGGGTACACCATACAGACAGCTTAAGGGAATCAATTTCCAGGTTCTAAAGCTCCTATGAGATTCTGTATTAAAACTGCTGGAGGATGCCCTAGTCACCTGGCCCTTCCCCCACTTCACAGAGGAGAGGCTCACCCCTCACACATTCTGAATCCCACTGTGTGCATCATCCAGGGTACAAAAACCTCTGAGTCCTAGAGAGAAAATGAGAAATGGTTGGTTACAGAGCAGCCTTCTTTGCTGATATGTCGAGGTCCCGTAGAGCTATGGTTCTCCCGTCTCTTCCTATCTACGTGCATTTCTTGGTAGTGAGTTGCTTGGTGCACAGAGGAAGGGTTCGAATTCAGAACCACTGAAGTAGGATAAGTTAGTGACAGGGGTTCTTTATAGTGTAACTGGAATGTTTTCTAGACTTCTAAATTTTTCAAGGTATTTGGATAAAACCCAGGATGAACATTTTCCTTGCTTTCTGTCTGATTCAGCCTGTCATTCAATAAGGTAGTTAAATCTATTTTGCCAAATCACATCATGAAACATTTAAGTCAATTACAGTCAATCCTCATCTTATAAAATGTTTACATTTTCTAGTTCCAATGAACAAAATTAATGTATTTAAACTTATGGTGAAAAATTGTAAATGTCAGGCTAACAATATACATGAGGATAAGTGGTTTTAAACACTATTTTGGGAATACGAGAGCATGAAAGTTTGAAGACCATCATGTTACTTCCTTGGCTTGTCTGGGTCTCCCCAGTTCCTGCCAATCTGTTTCCTTCACTCCCACGCAGTTGCTTCTCTCTTTCAGCTCTCAGGACGTGTGAGAAGTATTCCTCACCGCATGCCATTGAGTACCATAATCGACCCAGGACACTTTTTCTTAGAGGAAAAGATGGCACCGTACTGTGGGCTGTCTTGTACTAAGTCTTCAGAAAAGTGGGAGGGGTGCAGGGTGGGCAGCTGGAAACCCTCTTTGGCCAAGCCAACTTTCTTATGCATTTCAACAAGGTGAACGTAAGCGTACAATTCAATGATCTAAGTAAATTTATAGTTGTGCAACCATCACCACAGTCCAGTTTTAGAACATTGCCATCACCCTGAAACGTTCTCTCATGCCCATTTGTAGTCAAGCCTCGTTCCCACCCCTAGCCCTGGGCAATCACTCATCTTCTTCCAGCTCTATAAATTTGCCTTTTCTAGACACTTCATATAAATGGAATCATTTAATATGTAGTCTTTTGCATCTAGCTTCTTCACTTAGCGTGATGTTTTTGAGATTCGTACATGTCGTAAATGTGTCAATAGTTTGTTCTTTTCTTGTTTGGTGAGGGAGATTATCCTTGAGCTAACATCTGTGCCAATTTTCCTCTATTTTGTATGTGGGATGCTGCCACAGCATAGCTTGATGAGCCGTGTGTAGGTCCACACCTGGGATCTGCGAACTTAACCATTATGCCACTGGGCTTGCCCCAATACTTTGTTCTTTTTAATTGCTAAATAGCTATCCTTTCTATAGATATACAACCTTTGTTTATCCGTTCAACAGTTGATAGACATTTTCATCATTTTCAAGCTTGGGGCTATTATTAATAAGGCTGCCGTACACGTTTGAGTACACGTCTCTGTGTGGACCTCTGTCTTCGTTTCTCTTGGGAAGATCCCTAGGACTGGAATTGCTGGGCCTTATGATAAGTTTATGTGTAACTTTTTAGGAAACTGCCCAGTAGTTTTGCAAAGGGGGTGTACCGCTTTACATTCCCGCTAGCAATGGATGAGGGTTCCGGGGTCTCCACACCACAAAGCTGAGTTTTTTCAGCCTTTGTTACTCAAAGCCCTTCTTGGTTTTTCTTTTGTTGTTTAGTGATGAGAATAGGTTGACTCTTCCAACCCTCCAAGTCTCTGAATTTCTGGACTGTCTCTATTCCTTTTCATCCCCGCTATAAATTGCCAATTCTTTTTTTCTAAAGTTTAGTTTATTTAAACAAACAATAAAGAAGACAAAAAACAGTTCACCATTTTCTCCCACTCCTCACTCCTGCCTCTGTCAATCACCAATCTGTTCTCTGTAACTATGAGCTTAGTTTTATATATATATATATATATATATATTTTAGATTTCACATGTAAGAGAGATCATACAGTATTTGTCTTTGACTTATTTCACTTAAATAATGCCATTGAAGTTCATCCATATGGTCGCAAATGGCAAGATTTCATTCTTTTTTAATAACTGAATAATATTCCATTGTATAGCTTTTTTATCCATTTATCCATTGATAGACACTTAGGTTGTTTCCATATCTTGGCTATTGTAAATAATGCTGCAATGAACATAGGGGTACACATATCTTTTCGAAATAGTGTTTTCATTGTTTTTGAATAAATACACAGACGTGGAATTGCTGGATCACATGGTAGTTCTATTTTTAATTTTTTGAGGAACCTCTATTCTCTTTTCCATGGCAGCTACACCAATTCACCACCAGCAGTGCACAAGGGTTCCCTCTTCTCCACATCATTGCCAACAGTGGTTATTTCTTGTCTTTTTGATAATGGCCGTTCTAACAGATGTGAGGTAGTATCTCATTGTGGTTTTGATTTGCATTTCCCTGATGATTAGTGATGTTTAACGTCTTTTAATGGACCTATTGGTCATCTGTGTGTCTTCTTTGGAAAAATGTCTATTCAGATCTTCTACCCTTTCTTTTTTTTTTTTTTTTAAAGATTGGCACCTTAGCTAACATCTGTTGCCAATCTTCGTTTTTTTTTCTTTCCTCTATCCCCGAAGCCCCCTGGTACGTAGTTGTACATTCTAGTTGTAGGTCCTTCTGGTTGTGCTATGCGGGATGCCACCTCAGCATGGCTTGCTGAACAGTGCCATGTCTGTACCCAGGATTCGAACTGGCGAAACCCTGGGCTGCCGAAGCAGAGCGTTCGAACTTAACCACTCGGCCACGGGGCTGGACCCCCCCCCATTTTTGATTGGATTGTTATTTGCTCTTGAATTGTATGAGTTCTTTATATATTTTGGATATTACCCCCTTATCAGATATATGGTTTGCAAATATTTTCTCCCACTAACTAGGTTGCCTTTTCATTTTGTTGATGGTTTCCTTTGCTGTGCAAAACTTTTTAGTTTGATGTAGTCCCACTTATTTATTTTTGCTTTTGTTGCTTTTGCCTTTTGTGTCAGATTCAAAAAATCATCACAAAGACCTATGCCAAGGAGCTTACTGCCTATGTTTTCTTCTAGGAGTTTTATAGTTTCAGGTCTTACATTCAAGTCTTTAATCCATTTTGAGTTAATTTTTGTATATGGTGTAATTTAGTGGTCCAGTTTCATTCTTTTGTATATAGCTGTCCAATTTTTCCAGCACCGTTTATTGAAGAGACTGTCCATTCCTCATTGTATATTCCTGTCTCCTTTGTTGTAAATTAATTGACCATATATACATGGGTTTATTTCTGGGCTCTCTATTCTGTTTCATTGGTCTTTGTTTTTATGCCAATACTATACTGTTTTGATTACTATAGCTTTGTAATACAGTTTGAAATCAGGGAGCATGATGCCTCCATGCCCATTTCTTTTTTTTTTTTGGTGAGGAAGGTTGTTGCTGAGCTGACATCTGTGCCAATCTTCCTCTATTTTGTACGTGGGGCACCGCCACAGCATGGCTTGATGAGCAGTGTGTAGGTTTGCACGTGGGATCCAAACCTGCAAACCCCAGGCCACTGAAGCAGAGTAAACACACTTAACCACTGCATCATTGGGCCAGCCCCCTAAAGCCCTTCTCTTTCTCATAGCACTTTGTCAAATACAGCCAATGGCAATCAAGACATGCTATTAACAGTCTGACTCCCAGTCTCTTTACTTAAAGCCATAAGCTTATTGAGTTCATCAGCTGCCTTCCAAGTTAATGAAGGCAATAGTTTTCCAAAATACTTCATCAGTGCATAACACAGGTCACCTCCTTCTAGCCTTCAGGAACGATTTCCTTGACACCCACTGTCTGGCCCAAAGACACTGAATTTTTGTTCCAGTAGCATATCACTTCTGATAGCCAACTGCTGTATGAGTCAGGATAAAGAGGTTGTGCTCCGGTAACAAACAGCCCCAAATCTCAGAGACTTAGAAAAATGTTTTTATTTTTCTCACTCATGCTATACATCCATCCTAAGCATCCATGCCTCCACTCCACATCATCTTTGCTCCAGAGCCCAAGGTGATAGAGTCGCCCTCCTCTGGAACAATGAGGACGTGGTGAATCATGCACTAGCTTTTAAAGCTTCCTCTCACATTTAACGAGTCAGAGCAGGTGAAGTGGCCAGTCCTGACATCAATGGGCAGGGAAATGTAATCTTGTCCCAGGGAAGGGCAGCAAATATTGTGAATGATAGTATCATTTATCACCTTATGCCTTTTCTTTCATACCCTGAGGACTCCGAAGTAGAGAGAAACAGCTGACTTTGTGTGGTGGTTTTGCCCAGAGCTGCCTACAGCTTGAGTAAGGCAGGGAGACCTTTCAAAATACCTTCTAGACCTAAGCCTTTGATCTTCACGGTGGTTGGCCCCTGCCCTGCGGCTTTGATGCACAGAATTGTCATCTATTGTTCCTCTTGTTCTACCAGCCCTAGCTCTTAGGCACAGGGAGAAATTTGATTGCATGACTGTCTTTCCTAGATTTCACTACCCAACACTCAGTGCCCTCTGGGGCATTGGTAAATCCATTCTTGACCTCCAGCTTAAATTGACCCATTTATGTTTTTTCTTCCCAGCTGTCTTTTGGGGAGACATTGCCTTAGATGAAGAGGACCTGAAGTTATTTCACATTGACAAGGCCCAAGACTGGGTCAAGCAGTCAGTGGAGGAAGCGGGGCACAGCACAGGTGAGTACTGCATCCCCCAGCCCTGCCCGGGAAGGGGGCAGTCAGGGCTCCAGCAGGAGTGGATGTGGACCACAGGTCATTGGTATTCGACCTGTCAGTCCAGTGCCCACCTGTCTGTAGAGAACCAGATGGGTCACCCCTCCTTCTCCGCTGCAGGCTGTGGAACTGGAGCCTCCAAGTTTGCTGGTCCTTCTAAGAAAATCTCCATTTGACTCCTTATCTGAGAGTTCAGGCTGGAGCTCAGCGTAGCTTCTCAGGACTCTGGCCTCGGGGCCCAGCACGTTCCACATGGAGAGAATTCCTGGATGGCCTCCATGTAGGGCTGGCTGATGATGATGCTGATAATGATTGGCATGGGGGAGTTGTTTGCCCATGGGCTGTTGTGCGTGTGCTTGGCCGACAACACAGGCAAGAATCCCCTGGGGCCAGCAACAGGGTTGGGGCTTTAGACATTGATTACTCCTCTCCCACTCTCCCTCCTCGCCTCCACCTTGGGGTGAGTGGTAGGGGGACTGGTCTCTTGAGTTCTCCTCACCTCCCTGCCCACTAGGCTCAGACACCTCAGTGCTGTGGAATCTCCATTCTCGGAAGTAACCCAGCAAGGCTGAGTTGTGGGGCTGATGGGCTGGTGTGGCTGATGATGGCTTGTTCTATGGTGACCAAGGCCCACCTGTGCTGGATGCTGCACTGTCTCTGCTACCTGTGACCCCTCCACCCACCCTCCCTTCCTTTCTCTCAAGGCCTGTTTAGAAATTGTGATAAGAACACTTAACATGAGGTCTCCCCTTTTAACAAATGTTTAAGTGTACAATACAGCATTCTAAACTCCAGGCACAGTGTGGTACAGCAGATCTCTAGAACTTATTCATCTTGCATAACTGAAGCTTTCTACCTTTTTTCTGACCACCTATCATGGGCCAAATGTAGTGCTGTGAGAGAAAGAGGAATAAGATGTGACCTCTGCCCTCAAGGAAACCTTTCATGCCCACAGACAGGGTTTAGATCTGGACAAGCTCTCTAACATCTCCAAGGTTCAGTTTGCCTATTTGGAAAATGGGGATGAAGCCTACACTCACTCCATAGGAGGCTGGGGAGATTGACTCAGGATAGCAGGCTAGCCCGGTGCCTCACACGTAACACGTTCTCAGGCAATGGCACATATTATCACTAAGGGCTCCCATTCTAGAGGAATGAGGCTGAAATGTAAATAGATGAACCGTAATTCTCATGACAAGTGCTGTGATGAACCAAGAGCAGTGGGAAGAGGGAAGAGTGAGTGGAGAAGCCTAACTAGGTGAGCCAAGACAGGCATAATGGGAATGGGCACTCTTGCATCGTGTCTTGTTGGATGTGTAGGAGTTCCTTAGGTGAAGAATCAAGAAAAGACATTTCAGGCGGAGGGAAAGCTATGTGCAAAGGCCAGGAGTATGAGAGGGCCTGTCTTTATTCAGGAAATAGAAGAAAGTGTGGGTCACTGGAGGGTGGCTCTTTGGGGTGGGCTATGGGAGAGAGATGCACCTGGAGAGGTTGGTTGGGGTAGATGGTGAAGGTGCCTGTCGAAGGGGTGGGTTAGGGTGTGCCCATAGTTGGGGGCAACTCCCATGATGCTCAATGCCTGTCAGGCTAATGAGCTGGAGCTTTCCCCTGTGGGCTGCATGAATCCTGCCCAAGCTTTCCGAATAGGAGTGTGACTGCTCAGTTTTGACTTGAGCGGCATTGGTGGAGTCCCCTCTCCCACTGCTCTGCACAGCCCACCAGCTGCCCTGAGGATGCTGGATTCCTGGCTGGAAGTTTGGGCAACCTCACCCTGGCTTGCTGGTGGTGATGGTGGGGAGGGTTGTCAGACAACCCCTTCCCCCACTGCTGATGCACTTGGTGGCATCCAGGAACATCCCCGAAGCCTGAGGTGCCTTGCAAGCCTCCAAGATTCTATTCGAGCTGATTTACCAATTCTTCAATTCAGCATTTCCTGGCACAGAAGGCCCTGGGATCTTATCCACTTGGGAGGGAAGGAGGAGAATATACTGTACTCACGTTTCTGAGTGTGGTCCCCATTCATTCATTCATTCATTGAAACCTCTATTGAGTATCCACTTTGTGCCAGGTCCTGTGCTAAATTCTGAGAAGGTATAAATTGAGGTTTCTCTTCTTAAGGATTCACCAGCTAGTGGAAGAAATAGGGGCGGAAACCAAAAAGAGTGCTGAAGAGTCAGAGATGGGGATTTCAGGAAGCATAGGGGCAGTGGGGGCACCAAGAAGGACTGGGGCCATTCCTGGGAGGGGGGAAGTTAGGAAGGCTTCCCAGAGGAGGGGGTCCTGGGGAGATGGAGAGCTTTGTCAGACTGGGGAGTAAAAAGTCAGAGGGTAGAGAAGGGCATTCCGGACAGAGGTGGGGCTTCTTCTTGCGGGGGGAGGAGGAGGCTGGGAAATAGGATAGTGGTCACCACTGAGGAGGTTACATGGCTTCCTTGTCCAATGGATGGTTCCCACTTTCTGTGGAGGGGGTGGGTGGGAATGTGCCCAGTGTGTGGGGCAACTCCCATGGCCAATGAGGGACCTGAGCAGCTACAGGGACCAGGCCAAGTCCTGGGCTCCAAGCTCCCCACAGGGGATGGGGGATGAGGTGAGAGCAGGAAGGCAAAGGTTGTCAGGAGGCCAGGTGGACTCCATTGACAGTGGCTAGGAGGAGAGAGGGGCAATTACATACCTTAGAGCTTCATTTTGGTATCTGGTTCTACAACGATCATTTATTAGGATTTGGGGGACCGCTTATGTATGTCTTGAAAAGTCTATTCAAATTTTAAATGAGGTTTTAGAAACCAAATTATTTTTCATGCCAATATATACACAACCTCCATTGAGCTCTAACAAAAGGTGGCATCTCTTCGTAATTCTACCACTCCATCTAATCATGCTCTCCCCCCAGTTCTTACCTGGAGGCCTGGAGAAGTTGACCTGATTGTAACCTGTGTGTGGTTAAAATTTTTTTTAACTATTTTTTGCAATATTGCTTAAAAATAGTTAACTTCACATATCTCAAACATGTAGTTTGGAGAACTTTTACATATGTTCATGTCTGCGTAACCACCACTCAGACCAAGGTATGGAACATTTCCAGAACCCCAGAGACTCCCTTATGCCCCCTCCCAGTCAATATGCTTCCCAAAGTAGCCACTAGTCTGACCTCTCTCACCACAGATTCATTTTACCTGCCTAAACGGAGTCATACCTTATGTATTTTTTTGTGTCTGTCTTCTTTCACTCAGCTTTATGACTGAAATGCCCCCACACTGTTGTGTGAAACAGTAGTTCATTCTCTTTCATTGCTGTGTGGTGTTCTGTTCTATGAGTGTACCCCAGTTTATTCATTCTTCTGTTGACAGGCATTTGGACAGTTTACAGGTTTTGGCAGTGATAAATAAAGCTGCTACTGACGTTCTTGTATGTGTCTTTTCATGGACATGAGCACTAGTTTCCATTGGGTATATACCCAGGGGTGAGATTGCAGGGTCGTAGGGTTTACAGAAGTTTTTAGTCGATACTATCAGTTTTCCAAAGTGGTTGTACCAATTTACGCTCTGTGAGGGTACATACTGATTTGGAAAGCAGGAGGGGTGCCCGTGCAGGCTCCAATGAGGCCTTTGGGTCTTGGTCTCTCTGACTTGGGCATCCCACTCACACCCTCTGGGCCTGCACAGCAGTCATTTGATGCCTGTCCACCATCGTGAATGCTCAGGGTTGCCCCATCAGCGATCCTTCTGCTCTCCTTGGGGGACCTGCCATGGCACAGCGTGGCAAATGTTACAGACCCTAGAAAGAGGCTGGGCAGTGGCCAGCCTCCATGCCAGCCATGTGCTCAGCTGCTGGAGAGTTGCCTGCCCAGAAGGTTGCCTGAAGTGCTGCAGTGAAGAGAAGCCCAGCAGGCCTGCCTTTGCCTCCCGCACGGCACTCTCCCAAGGCTGGCGTGGTCAGCCTCGTGGTCTGAGAACTTGAGTACCTGTCTTCTCTTTCCTTCTCCCCTGTGATCTGAAAGATGGCAGAGGCTACATCATATGTGACTTTGGATTCCACAGTGGTGGCCCCCCACCTTGTTCCTAGAAGTCACTGGCCAACATCAGTGGCGAGAGACAAGGAAGAAGTGGAGGGGACACCGGCAGACCCTGGAGCCGTCTCCCAGGGGCCAACAAGATGAAGAGCTCCAGGGGAACTTTGCTCCCAGAAGGGTGGTTAAAGCCCTGGTCCAGGCTTTGGGGTCAGACTGCCTGGGCTTCAATACTTGAGCTGGGCCTCAGTTTCTTCATCTGTCAAATGGGAATAGTAATTATCCTCATCTGAGAGTGATGTGAGGACAAAAGGAAAGAATATGTAGAAAGTGTTTAGCACAGTGCCTATCATATAACAAATGCTCAAAACTGTCAGCTCTGCCTCCTGCTCCTCGTTAGTAGTGGCAGTATTTACAGGGAGAGCTCCGACCTGGGACAGTTAGAGGTTACAGTAGAGAATGGAGGAGGTTTGCTCTATGCTGGAGGGGGCGTGGGGAGCTTGGACCTGATGTTTCCTTCTTCCCAAACTTGATTTATATATTTTTTTCCGGCGTGTTTTTATGGCAAGGTGATTTTTATCCTAATTGCTTTTCTCTGAGGACCAGTAGTACTTTGCATCTATCTAGAATAGTTATTTTATTTTCAGAATGGGAATACTTTTTATTGTTTTTGCTGATTAAACTAATACTGTTGGTTGTTAAAAAACAAAAAAAAAGTCCAATAGCTCACAATTGTAGAAAGCAGAAAGTGAAACCCCCTGTTACCCCAGCCCCAGGGATCCCCACATTATCTGCTCGCTGGGTTCCTTCCAGCCTTACTGAGCTCAGGCCATGTGCATACTGATATTTTTAAAACATAAAAGGGATTTCTCTCAACATGCTCTTGTGTAACCTGCGTCTTTCACTTAACCCCACATCATGACATCCTTTCATGCAGTACATGGTGGTCTGTCACATT